TTTTACTTAAGTAAAATTTTCAGGCAATACTTTTACTTTTACTTAAGTAAAATTTTCAGTCAGTACTTTTACTTCTACTTAAGTAAAAATTGAGGTGTTACTTTTCACTTTTACTTAAGTAAAAATTTTGAGTACTTTGCTGAACACTGGCTAGGTACATACCTGAGCAATCCGAACCCGAACCCCCGAACACCCCCCCCCCCGAAACTCCCCGGTCCATATTCGCTAGCGGATTTGTAGAGTCCCAGGAACAGTGCGAGGTGCATTATAGGTTATCACTCGATATAAACTTGAGAAAAATCCAATAACTATAATTTGTTCCAAAAATGCAATAACTATATGTTCCAAATTTTTACACAACTAAGTAACTATTAGTGGGCATCGCCAGTTTAATCTATAAGAGATGATTTTTGACACTGAGATACACGTAATGCGTAATAGACGATTGACATGGTGAACCACTGAACCCTTAATTTAAAAATTGGGAACATAGCTCTCTGCGAAGCAATCACGTAGGCCCGTTTCAGACGGCGTACTTCTCATGTGCCGAACTTAATTGATGAATTAGGTACGGCAGAAGAGCGACGTATGAATCAATTGACCATTTGCGTAATAGACTAAATTTTGAACTAAATAAGTCTAGACAAAAATTTTATCACAGCTTGAAGGAGCATCACAAAATTAGTACTATTCCAAAGTTTCGTTGCAAAATGTTGTAAAATGCGGAAAATATAGCCTTGCGAAATTTGCAATTTTCAGTCATTTTAGATTAAGCCTGGTTCACATAAAATCGTTAAGCAGTCGCAGACATGTGCCGAATTTTTATATGAACACAAATGCAGATTCGCACAGACTGTCTGAGACCGGATCGGCGACGGATCGGGAAAGTTGAACCAAGTTCAACTTTCCCGATCCGTCGCAGATCGTTCATATAAAAATTCGGCACATGTCTGCGACAGTCTGCGACTGCTTAACGATTTTATGTGAACCAGGCTTTACAAACGGGAAATTGACAGCCCCAAACCCTTCGAGGCTGTCAATTTCCGGTTTGTAATCTAAAATGACTGAAAATTGCAAATTTCGCAAGGCTATATTTTCCGCATTTTACAACATTTTGCAACGAAACTTTGGAATATTACTAATTTTGTGATGCTCTTTCAAGCTGTGATGGAATTTTTGTTGAGATCAAAATTTAGTCTATTACGCAAATGGTCAATTGAAAGTATTCCTTCTTGTGATCCAAAATACTGCCATCTCAGATCAGGGTTTTTATTCAAATTGTTTATCATAGTTTCTTCCAAACTCTTTGAAAGATATTTGGCACCCTTCGAAACATATTTTGCCTTGATTTCACAAAACATATTGCTGAAAACTTTCGTCTTAAACCTGTAATCAGTTTCAGTTGGGTTAATTTCGCAACATTCAGGATAAATTGATGACGATGATACTTGCTGGCTACTGTACCCTTTTTCCACTGTGGTTTTAATTTGCTCAAGAGCAAAAATGTTGTCGTGAAATCTTTGTTTCAAGACGTTAGCCAATAGATCAATTTCTCTTTTACCATCCACTTTTTCGTGAACAAACTTAGAGTCATCAAAGAAGATCTAAAAATATCGGAATGAAACCTATACGTTACAGTTAAGGAATAGAAAACTGTAAAAGGCCCGTTTCCACTTGCAATTTTTGTTTTCTACAAATTTGGTTTTCTCCTTCAGCCGTATAGTGCTCTACACCAAAGTGGAGCTAAGTTAAAATTAAAAATTAAAGATTAAAACCTAAAACAATTTTATGTTTTAATTTTTAATTATATATATATATATATATATATATATATATATATATATATATATATATATATATATATATATATATATATATATATATATATATATATATATATACAACAAAATAAAAATGGCTTGCGCGCGAAATTTAAAAGCTTTAATCGTATTTTGTGTTAATGGGTGAAAAATGTGTTGAGTTGTCCGAAATTTTGTACAGTAATTAAAAACCCAACAAAGTTTCCATCCATTTACTCAAAATACGATTAAAGCTTTTAAATTTCGTGCGCAAGCCATTTTTAGTTTGTTGGAAAAGACACACCCCCTGGTTTACAAAATTTGAGTTTGAGAATTTTTTTTCATTATTCTACATTTTAAGTACCCAAAGAAACTATATATATCAAAAACTGGATACTAATAGTTTTGCGAAATTGAGAGCAATTTCATATCTGTTCAGTTTTTTACACCCTGTAGTTAAGTGGAAACGTCATCCAATAAGAAGCGCCTATTTGAGAGTTAATCACTATATTTAACCATAAAATAGTGATTAAAAAAGTGATTAGGAGTTTTATACAACCGGCCCCAGTAGACTTTTTTCATTCTGATAAAAGTCACTAATCTGTTGTACTAGTATAATATAATCTAATATTTTAATAATTTTTAGAGAATTTATGGAGTAAAGAAGAACTTCAAGACCTTGAAAAGTTTTTCGAATTGAAGGTAGTGTACAAATTTCGCTTCTTCTTGGCCTTGTTGCTAGAATCGTTGACAAACTTATCGGGCAATCTGGCACTCTTTTAACCCCCTCGCCCCCTTAAAAATGTTGTGTTATGGTATTGTATCATGAATAGATAATGCGTTATGTTGTCAGTGAAAACATGATGTCATACAACAACATTGCTTAGGGGGTAGGTATATTTGGCTACTTAGGAATCTTAGTTTGGAACATAGATATCTTATATACATTAGATAGTAGATAGTGCATGCATCTAATTATTCTGCAATTCAAAAATTGAAGCCGTGATTGCAGACTCAGGATATTCGCATGAAATGAGAATTTCTATTTCTTAAACAGGGAACTTAAACATTACGTTAAACCTATTCCAAATACATTTTCAAACTATTCAAACGATGAAAGTTATTGTTGTTTTTAAGCGTTTATTAGCGAGTGGGAAACTCCAACATGGCCGACATCTATTCAAATGGGGGTAACCGCTGGAATATTCTTGGCTTCAATTTTACTAAATGAGATGCGCTATCTAGTGTATATAAGATATCTATGGTTTGGAATCAATGAATTTTTGACCATGTTTTTCAGGTTGCCCGAACATGTTACGATTAGCGTTATGATTAACATTTCTATAGCATAAATTCACATGTGGATATATGATCAAATGAGCTTTACATCAAGTATTATATGCTTACCTAATTGCATACTTAGCCTAGATTATTTTATCTTTACAACAATTGTGATATTACTTTCTTAATAGACCTTTCCCCTTATAACCAAAATTTTGATCTAGGTAAGTCTAGACAAATACTTCAGCACAGCTTGAAAGAGCATCACAAAATTAGTAATATTCCAAAGTTTCATTGCGAAATGTTGTAAAATGAGGAAAATAGAGCCTTGCGAAGTTTGCAATTTTCAGTCATTTTGCATTACAAACGGGAAATTGCAGCCCCAACACCCGAATCGGATGTCAATTTCCCGTTTGTAATACAAAATGACTGAAAAACGGCAAACTTCGCAAGGCTATATTATCCGCATTTTACAAGATTTTGCAACAAAACTTTGGAATATTACTAATTTTGTGATGCTCTTTCAAGCTGTGATGAAATTTTTGTCTAGATCGAAATTTTAGTTATAAGGGGAAAGGTCCATTGTCCGCTTTCCCTGTGGGAGGAAACTGGAGTACCAGGAGAAAAGCCACGACTTTCGGCAGAGCGTTGACTCACTCTTTTCACATGAGTCCATAGCAACAATCAAACCCACGATCTCAGAGGTGAAAGGCGCTTGATATGACGACTGCGCCACCAAAGCCCCAATTATTGTAGGCTCGGTTCCAGATGACGAGGTTTTGGAGTAAATGTGTAGGTAAATGAAATTATATCCAGATACGCGTGCATAATATCTCTTTTATTCTTATCTTTAGGTTGTTTGTTATCCTTACAAACTGAACAATATGACGTCCTTTCTGAAAATTATTTCTGCCGAGCAAATGATTTTGAAGGACTTCATTCAGATTATGAGACTGGAACTGGTGAGTGCCACTATAGGGTAATAGCCCAATCTCGTTCCCCGAGCCTGCAAGTTCAAAGTCAGTCGTCATCAGGTCGTCATCCAATCAGATGCATGCATCTAGTAACTTGCCGAGCATGCGCCCAAAAAAAGTGGGTACACTAGTTACGTCTCTGTATGTCTCTACTCTGTGTCTTGGATGCGCGCGTTAATTTGAATCACTTCGCTAGGTTTGAAATGGCGTGGTTGATGTGCCATTTAATTAAATTTCAAATGACGCGAGCCAACAGATCACGACACTTTTGTATATAAAAAGGGCGCGTGAATTGAACAAGACATATATTATTAGCATAGAGTAGAGCAGTGGAGTAGAGACATATGTCTCTACTCTGTGTTATTAGCACTGATGAAGATCCGGGCTTACGGATCGAAAGCTTTGCAGTAATAAATTTACGTGGTGTTTCCACAAACAAAACTATTATAAGTTGTAACAAGGTTGTTGTCAAGCCGATATGATGTGTTCACACTGCTTGTTCCCAGTTGTTGTGACAAGTCTGGAACAAGTTGTTGTCATCTTGTTACAAGACTAATACAACAACATCAACTACTTGTTAAGAACTTACCATACCATTACCATTTATTTCTCAAGATATGAAAAATTACATCTCGAAGGAAATTGAGAGGTTAATCCTATATAAACAATTCCCTGAATATGAAAAATTGCCTGTTACGTGCGACGATATCAGACTTGTTGGAACAACTTGTTTCGAGTCTGATGGCCTTAACAACCTTGTTACAAGGTAATAACAACTTGTTCCAGACTTGTCAACAACTTGGGAACAAACAGCGCGAACACATCTTGTTCACAAGCTGTGAGAATTTTACGCGTTTGTGGTACAAAGCACGTTCTCATTATTTTGTAAAGGAATGTTTAGTAATTAGGTAGGGCAGTTGTAAAAGTTAAATATTTAAGTTCTAATCATCAAAATTTTATGAATTGTTTCCCCAAAATGCAGAAATTGCCGCTTAAGAGACTCTAGGTTTTAAAAATGTCCCGGAGAAGAATGCCCCAAACCTCCCTAGCGTTTGGCAAAACCTCGGCCTTTCCTTCTACCTCCATTCACTAAAAAAACTGGCTACGTTTCTGGTGGCTCTTTGTTTTTTAGTTTTTGTATTTGACATTTTAGCATAACGATCCAAGTCATCGTTGGAATGTTGAGTGGTGTCTTACTGTTCCTCCTGGCGATCAAAGAAGAAAACAACTGTTAGGAACTCCCGCTGTTGTGGCTGAAAATAATAAAGTTCTTTTCTTTGTGAGTACAATTCTCTGGAAAAGATTTATTCCTCCTCTCCCGAAAAGTCCCACTTTGCAATAGCCTCCACTTCATTTAGGAGAAAATATTCTAAAAGAAGAAGATATTCATTAAACGTCCCCACCCCATTTATAAGAATAGCCCTACACCCATAATAGCTCCTACCCCCACAACTTCCAGGATAATTTAATTATAGTATTTGTCTGCAATAACTAACCATCTCAAACTGATTAATAATTCATGAATTAATAATTCATAGCCAACCATATTGCTTTATTTTGCTCACATGATAATACTGGATACCTGGTGAAGTATGTTGATCCAATCCTAGGACTGGATCAATTAATTCAGTCCTTGGACTTGATCAAATTGCGCGAACTTGAAATCTAGTCCAGTTCTCGTAGTCGGATTTGAAATATTACTTCGAAAACCAATACCAGTCGAAAATTTAAAAAAATGTAAAACAAAATGCAGTCCGAAGATTAGCATCTTGAAACTCGATGAATATACGAGTCAAAACAGGACGTGAACGACTGTGATATTTCGATTTTATTCCAAAATAATCATTATTAAAAAAAAACATCATCAGACCTTTTATATATTGTAACTCTAGTTAGTCTGATCATGATTTTGGAATAAAATCACACTACAGTCGAACCCCTATAAGCGGACACCTCTCTTAAGCGGACACCTCTTTTAAGCGGACACATATCTCAGGTCCCATTCATTTTCTTTAATAAATTACTATTATCATAACCCCTATTAAGCGGACACCCCTCTTTAACGGACGCGGACACCTTTCTGGAGGTCCCAATGGGCAAATCAACCTCTCTTAAGCGGA